GTGAAAGATAAAACTTCAAAGAAGCTGGCAGGTGCTAACTTCAAAGGCCCCATATAAAACACTGTCCACACACTTCAGTTCTGATGAGTAACTCTGTGCAAGGCCATCAGGCATCCAAAGCCAAAAAGGATTTTTACTCTAGCCTCTTAGAGGAAACCTTTCTATTTAAGAATGGAATTTTATATTTTATGTGCAACAATGGTAGCTTTATAAATCTTACCTATGTTTTTATTGGCACCCATGTGAGCTTTCTGTGTGTGCAAACTATTGCTATTGCCCAGCTTTTGACAGTGGTTTGGAAGACTGAAGAAATGTATCTTCTTGTTCTTACTTTTATAAGTCTCATGTGATTTTTTAAGCATTACCTACTAGAGGCCCATGTAAGTATATACATGTCTCATGTTTGGCTTTAGCATGTCAATAGTATTTCCCTAGGGAGTTTGTAGTTCCATACACTCAGTGCTTAATGTAAATATGTTAGATATCTGGTTACTTAGATAACTAATTACTGAATATAGGGAGTGAATGAAATAAGACTTTAGTGACCATGCTGCTAATCTTATCATTTATTAAAGGAAGATGACCTTGTGCTAAAGACCCCTTTTGCCTGCAGAAAAGTGAGGGCTTCAAAGGCACACTATATCACTTTATTTCATTTTTTACCTAATCCAGTAATAACTTGGAAGTTTTTCTTAATTACTATTTATCATCCATATATTATATAAATCATAGCATGTACGCTTACGGCACTCAAATATTCAGGTTGTATAAGATACAATTCCTGCTCTCAGTGAAAGCAATTGGTCAATGTGCTCTGCTCTATATTAAGCACTAAATTGGAGATATTGATCAATGGACAGATAGACAGATATATGACAGCATTCCAGTTGTTCAAGAAAGGAGTCTACTGGGGGCTGAGCCACTCAGAGCAGACTCACATTCGTCTAGGTTGTGGGCTGGGAGTGAATAGGCAGAGTATGGCCCAATGAGTAGAGGCTTTCAGAGTGGCAAAGGTGGGAATGAAGTTGTAGGGTGATGACATTTAGACTGGACTGAGAAGGATGCAGGATGCAGAGCTTTTACTTTATCCTATAGCTCATGCTGAGCCATTTTATGCAAGGGGGGAAATATGATGAAAGAAATGCCAAGAAATTTAATGTAGAAGTAAATAGAGAAATTGAAAATGCAAGAGGTTGGAAGGCCAGTTAGGAGGGTCTTGAATAATCAAGGCATGAAGTGAGTGGAGACTAAACTAAGATGGTAGAGAAAGGGGAAGCAGGGAAGGGAGGATTTTGGAGAATCAGTTTTTGAAGAAGCTAATGGAACAAAAACAGATGAAACGGCATCCACAGTAATGTACTGTAGTTTCTAACCTGGAGCGGATTAAGGACTGGGAGAGGTGTCCTGTCCCCCACCCCACCTTGTTCACTTTGCTCCCTCCACAAGTCCCCTTGCTGGCCCACGAGCAAGGCAAGCACAGTTCCACTTCAGGACCTTCCCTGATTCCTTCATTCTGGGCATTCTCTCCTAGATCTCTACCTGGCTTGCTTGTTTGCTTTGAATCTTGTCCAGGTCCTCTCTACTTATTTGTTAACTTTGCAAATAATGGCGTTTTCAACAAATTATAAGATATTACTTTCCCCAAAGATCTTGCAGGTTCACTGAAAAGGAGAGCTTAAATTATTGGGATTCCTAGGGTGTATCCTAACTAGAGAGGACGTCCTTGAGAACCCCATCCCTCGCTTCTCCTTATCTTGCTTGATTTTTCTTCACAGCACACTCTTTCAGCTGACTATTATATATTTAGTAAGATATTTAGTCATTTTTTTGGTTATTTTCTGCTGCTTCTTATCGAAGCAGCAGAAAGATGTAGCGAAGAATGTAGGGGGCATATGGATAGGGACTTTATTTCCTTTTTTTTCATGGTATAGCCTCAGTGCCAAACACAGTTCCTAGCACATAATTGATAAATATATATTGGTTAAGTAAACAAAACAGGAAAGATAAAGAAGATACTAATTTGGGGAGAGGAGGAGGAGGAGGAAGATGATGAATTAGCTTTACACATGGATTATCCTAGAAGAAGCAACCTTTACGTAGAGGCTGGCAAGAAGTCAAGGCTGGGCATGCACTCTGTGAACTTCAGGGTCTCCCTTCTTTATAAACACCAGGATAGTGTTGTTGGATAGTACTTCTGCCTGGGTGGTGATCTCAGTGTTTTCCACCTTACTTTAGGAGTCCATTTCTTTCCCTGTGTGACTTCCTTTCCCTGGGAGAGCAGCCTTGCAATTAGGGGCTGCATGGAAAAGCTGTTGAGTTTCTGAGAGGACAACCTAGAGATCACATTTTCTTTCTTGAGCTGTCAAACACATAACTGCACAATGTTTTCTAGAAACTCCGTGATTATTGGGATAATCTACTCCAAACTTTTTGAAATATACTTGACATAGCCTGTAATAATCCAAATGAGCCCAAAAAGAAAAACAAACAAGGCACACCTGTAGCCCATTCGTTTTCACAGTTTCAATTGCTCTAATTCTCCCTTTTTACAGGAGCGTATTAGGATCACCTGCCAAACTGACTTATGCATTAATGAAGTAGCTCATGTACATTCATTTCATTTTCGTAAATAATCTCTTTAAGAAAACATATCTTTCCTTTTCAAATGCATTCAGCTCAGTCTTTTCTTGACATATATAAACACTTTCTAACATCACCACTGACTGTACTGAAATGGATGAATATATTATAAAGCACGCTATCTTTATTGCTGCCTGAAGTGATCCATTGAGAATATAACTGCCAGCTGTGTACCTTAGGCACATAATTCCATTACCGGATTCTTTCGGAGCCATCAGTTCCATGGCTGGTTCTTTGCTTGACAAACCAGCCATCAAGTTCCAAAGCTCTGTCTCCAGGTCGGATTATTCCAGCCTACTTAAAAATCTGTCATCCTGTGTTAACCTCAGGTCACAGCTTCCGGTCAAAGGGTCTCTTCTGGATAAAGTTGACCCATGTTTTCTTCAGCTGTCCATAAACATTCTCAACCATTGGGCCGGGGATGTAGCTCAGTGGTTCCGCCGTCTGCCTCACAAGCACAAGGTCCCGAGTTTGATCCCAGGTACCAAAAAACAAACAAACAAACAAACATAAACATTCTCAACAAATGCTCATCCTAATTTTAATCCTCTAGCCATACTTGTATGTGGGGAAGGAGCCAGCCACCCTTCAGAAGTGAGTAAGGAGTTTAATATTCTTCTGGCTTTTTTTGTAGGGGGTAGGGGGGTATGTCACTCATTTTCTCCAGATATGTTTGAATATCACATAGCCTACAAAAGAGAGATTAATTTGGGTGGGGCGGGGAGAGGGTAGTTAAAAAAAAACACCTCTTATTCCAGTGTGGAAGTATACGCTGGGTTCATACTTCGCTTTGAGTTGGTGTGGAATTCCTGGATTTTAGATGTCACCCTATCCAAATCTCCTACTTTACAGACAAAAGGTGAGATTTCAACTTCCTGAGGCTCCTAAGGGCTTTGCACAGTTTGGAGCTTTTACTTCCTCTCTTGGTTGACTGACAAGGAAGTTGATATTACCTTTGTCCTCCCACATAAAGACTATCACATCCTGAAGGAAGAGTAGTTGGATCACTTGAACAATTTGTTTAAATTTCATAACAGGAATGATGAGAGGAGGAGTAACTGGGTCAGAGCAAATGGTAAGCATGGATGGGTTTGCTAGAAGGAGGGTGACCAAGGAAACAGTGGAGGAGGGTAACATAAACAGGGAGGTTGCCCAGGATACACTGAGCACAATTTTGTACCCCAGTGGAAGACACTGGAAGCCACTTTCTTGGCTGCCTTTGCTGCAGTATTTCTAGGCTGCTGTTGTCTCCTTCCAAGGTAAGCTGTGTGGTTGGAATCTACAAATCTAGGTGTGTAAGGGATGAAGACGTTGTTATTGTTTTTATGGTAGGGATAGCTACCATTTGTTGAAAACTCAACATGAACTGAAAACTGCTGTGTATATGGCTTATCTTATATAAATCATTTTTTCAAAAAAACTTTGGAGCTTGGTATTCTTTTCTTTATCTTAGAGATTGCTGAAGTTCCTTGGCTAGGTACTCCTGGAAAATGGCACATTTGGGATTTGAACCTGGCTTTAGTTAGCTTCAAATTTCATGTGACAGAGTACTAAATAAGTAATTTAAACTCTACTCATTAACCATGGACTCCATGTCCTTAATATTCCCCTTTTATGTGATTCTAGTCAGCCCAGGGCAGAATAGCATTAGAGAGACAATAGCAAAAAGATCCACTGCCTCTTCAGCTGTTTTTAAGTTCATATCTCAATGACGCCTTCTTCATGTGCACCAGCCTTTTGAATTCCTGAGGCACTTATCTCATTCCAGATGTCTAGCAACACTTTATGTCCTACAGCTAAATACCTTCCCCTTATTATGCCCTTGAGATGTAGCCCCATAACATGAAATAAAGCCAAGTAAAACACTTTTCTTCTGCTTAATGTTGACAATCATTCTTGTTCTTATTAATTAATAACTAACAATATTAAAATATGATACTGAAGGTCTTTAAAAGTCCAACAACAAGAAAAATATGTATATGTAGGCAATAATTCAGGAGAAGAAATACATCTTGAAAAGGAATGGAAAGGGAAGAAGAGAGATCAAGATCAAGCAAATACCATAAACAGATGGTACAGATTTTGCCTGCATGAAGTGGGGTGCTGGGGTGTGTGTTTATCCAGACCCACCTGCTCAGTGGAAACCTCCAAACTCATTCCTGAGTTGTCCGATGATGGGCATTCTGATAAAGAGGAATATGCCTTGTTACTCTGGTTGTAATCCTAGACAAGAGTGAAGTTGTGAGGAAACACGATGATTTAGGTGAGTTTCTGGGTCTGATTAGCCTTCTTTGTGAGAGTTCCTGGCAAAAAGGGGTCTATACTGGTGGAAGTTTTGGGGCACAGGAGGGCTCTGTGCAGAAGGAGGAAAAGGGCGAAAGGAAATATTCAAGACATTGTTGCCTTGGGCTTCCTTTGAGGATGGCTGGCTGCAGCTCCAGGCTGGACAGAGTCCCAGAAGCAACGGCTCACCCTTGCTTTCCTTCAATTTAAAACATTAAGGAAATGCAAGTCACCATGGAGACTCAGCTCTCTCACGGAGGAGCTCATGGAGGCTCAGCTGTCTCATGAAGGCTGCTCAAGAGGACAGACTGCACTTCTGAAGGAACAGGTTATTTGTGCATGTATGTGTCTTTATTGTCTTCATCTCTCCTCATTTACTGGAGGAAACTCAGCTTTCTTTGCATGTATGTGGAAAGTGTGCAATGGGGAAAATGTAGTTGTTCATAGCCCTATGACCTTGGACATGTTACTAAAGTAGTTTGGGTTGCAGTTGCTACTGTATGAAGTGGATTTTATAGGTAATATGGAATGTTACATTCTTCTTTGAGAAATATCACCATCTTATGCAGATGAAAGTCTTTTTTTTTTTTTTTTTTTACCGTATGTCTCCTTCCTTCATTATGAAGAATACTTCCTATCAAGAGGGAGATAATGGAAGAAGAAGCTTTGCCTGTGTAAAGGTCTGTTCAAATACAAAAGTCTTCATCAATACCTGTGTTATGATGGGGGCCGGGTATTTAGCTCAGTGGTTTTGCCGCCTGCTGCACAAGAGCAACGACCCAAGTCCGAGTTCGATCCCCGGTACCAAAAACAAACAAACAAAAAAAAAACTTGTGTTATGAAAGAAAACATCCAAACCTCTATGCTGCATTTAGATTCTATTTTCCATTTGTTCTGGTCTGAGTAAGGAGAACAGCTCATTACTGTCCTGGGCCAGAGCTTTTTATATACTTTAAAAAAAAACATTGCTAGCTAATCCTGTAACCTTCTCTCCTCCAAATGGAATTGCTTGGGTTCCCTTAACCTCTGCCAATCTGTATTGTTTCAGACCTCAAATCACTTCTGTGGCTTTCTTCTGAGCGGACTCCAGTTTCTACCTCCCCCAGTAAGTGCAGATTTCAGAGCAGGGCCCTGCACTCAGGGGGAGTTTGCTCAGGTTGTGTGGCTGGGAAGGGGAGGTGAGGATGGAGTGGTGAATAATGACAGCAGTCACTTGTTCCTACTCAAACGAGATGTGAAAGGCAAGAGGAGTCAGTAGACTTTGCATAACAGAAGTCAGAACTTTTTTCCACCTCCTCATTTTTCTATCAGAGTTTCTTAAACAATAGTGCATACATCGGTGAGCCATTTCCATGTGAAGCATTTAACAAGGCTTTGCCAAGGACCCAGTACTTTTACTGGAATTCTAAAACTGTTAACTGTTGATCCCTAGATAGAATCCTGCCTGTGGACAGGGAGTATTTTGTTCACACAGTTAAAAGTATGTTTTAACTAGTTATTGACATTTTAAAATGAGAGGTTTAACCTAAGAATCATCCAGATGTCAAGCTTCTTTCAATCCTGGAGGTTGGGGAATATTTGCAGGCCTGGAACCCTGGGCTGGAGCTGAGGAGTGGCTTCCCTCGCTAGATGGGGAGCTGCACACTGTTAAGGACTGATGTGTCCGTATGTGCATAATCCAGCCACATGCTGAAGCCCTAACCCCCTTGCAACCCTATTTGGAGATGAGGCCATTAAGGAAGTGATTATGGTTAAATGGTCTCAAGAGTGGGGCCATAATCTGATAGAACTAGCATCCTCATATGAGGAAGAAACACCAGATTGTCTCCCTCTCTGTTTCCCTACACACACAGGACAGGGCTTGTGAAGATGCAGTGAGAAGGCAGCCATCTGTAAGTCACGAAGGGAAGGCCTAACCAGAACCAACCCTAATGACACCTTGATCTCAGACTCCTAGCCTCTGGAATTGTGAGAAAATACATTTTTGTTGTCTGTGACATTTTGTTACAGCAGCTTGAATAGAGTAAGATACCCATTGTATCAGTTAGCAAACTGGAGACTGAAGGATCCAATCGAAGGTCTGGAGCTCACTGCAGTGTCCTCTGTGAGTCCGTTCAGGAGGCTGAAGGGTCTGAGATGGAGGCTGAAGAGTCTGTGCTGGAAGCCAAAAGGTGACATCCAAGGTGGAGGTGAAAATGGCAGCTCCTCCAGTCTTCTTCATTTCCCCTTTATACCATCCAGGTGACAAGCCACCCCAGAGTGGATCTTCTGTCTTCAGTCAATCGCCTCAGCCACACTTAGAACTATGCTGATTTAATTTAGTTGGGTATTTCTTCCTCAAGTTGTCACAATCAGTTACTATCACACCCATATACTCACTTACTTTGTGTGTAGCTTCTATGGCTATTTGAATTTGAGACCCCTACAGTAGCCTGGCCTTCGGGAGTGAATGCTCAGTTCCTACACTCTGTCCATTGGTAACACAGAGCAGCTTATTAGAGATGTTCAAATACATATCACAGGACAGAAGAACAGTCAGTGGCTGGGAAGGGAGGGACAGCAGTGAGGACTTCACAGTGAGGATAGAGGGTCCCAGATGGGTTTGAGAAATGAGGAAGATTTCAACAAATGGATGTGAAATGGGAGGCAGAGCAAAGGTACACAGGCAGGAAAGTGGTGGTGTGTTTGGAGTGCAGGCTTCATTGAGGTGTGTGAGTGTGTGTGTGTGTGTGTGTGTGCGCGCATGCTCATGTGGTGGGATTGATAGGAGATAAAGCCATAAAGGGGAGCAGGGTCACACCCCAGCCCTGAATGTCACACCAAGGATCTGGTTTAATTCTGGAGAGAATGAGGAACTCCCTGAGGGGCTGGGAGTGAAAAACTAGGTGATGAGAAGTATGTTAATTAATTAAATAAATGTTTACTGAGAATATTCAATGTGCCTGGTATTGAAGGTAATGGTTATGGACAAGAAAGAAGTTAAGTCTCTGCTCTTGTGGAGTTGAAAGAAATAAAGGAATATATGCATACATACATACATCCATCCTAACTCATAAGTAGGAATGCCATGAAGAAAAACAAAGCAGGATAAGGGGGTAGAGTGCAAGGGATGGCATGATATTTGGGTGTAATGTCAGAGTGTAGGAGAATATAATTCTACACGGAGGGACTAGCAAGTGCAAAGGCCCTGAGGCAAGTATACAGTTATGGTCAACAATAATATAGAGGTTAATCTAGTAACAGGAAGTCTTGGGGGAAGTGAGATCAAAGTATTCAGGAGTCAGATGTTTTCAGGCAGGGAACCCATACAGTGTGAGGACTGATCAGGAAGCAGGATTGGAACAGTGATACCAGTAGGAATGATGAAGGCCTGAGCCAGGGCTGGAGAAATGGGGTTGTAATTGTAGAGTCATAGACTGGGAGAGGGGCACATTTTGGACCAGTACACAAATGAAGTGCCTAACAGAACTGGGCTTGGGGAAGCCGGCATTGGCTTTGAGGACCGATGACATGGTGACCTACCTCACAGGCTCTGGATTCCGTGTTCAGTGGCAATTCTCAGGGGAGGGAGAATCAGGGAAGGGAGGGTTCATCTGTTTCCACAGCTCACAAGCCCAGACAGTCCCCATCCGGCTTCTGGGAGAAGTCAGGTGCTCTTCTTCTAAAAAGCACAACACTGTCACTTAATGGCACAGACCTCTGCCAAATGTCCCCCAAACCTGCTGGCCCTAAAATAAACTGGCTTGTCCTACCAAGTGGAGATAAAGACTTGAAACCCAATGCGGGAGTAGTGGTGGTTACTGCGGGCCAGAATATGTGTTGGCTTGGTATAGTTTCTCCTCGGCAGTTTTCTTTTTAAGGCTTAAGTGAGCAAAGGTAAACAGTCCTTTAGAATCATATAAAGTCCTTCCTCCACACTGTGCTGGTCAGCGAGCACGGTCATTGCCTTTGGCATTCTGCTGTAATTTTCCCCCTTGGTGTTTTCCTTCCTTCTTGTTTGGCTGGGAGGGTTATGAGCTCCTTAGGAAAGAATGCTGCGCTTTCTCTGCTGGCCGTGCTGAGGGGCAAACATTCCAAAAAATGTCCGCTGTAAATACCTTTGGTGAGCGCGCCCTCTGCTGGTGCACCTTGTCAGTCTCCGTTGTCATTTCCTGACAATGCTGCAGGTTTAGGCTTAGTTATCATTTTGATTTTGAAAACGGGCAAAGGAAATGAACAACAACAGCAGCAACAACAAAAACCCAAACATATCCTTGAGGATAAATTGATGTCTTCTAAGTTTCTAGAACCTTCTTCTACAATTTTAATCTGTACTTGACTGTAGTCTCTGAATCTTCTGGCTCAGTCTTACTTTGAGGTTACACTTGGCCTTTTACTAATACAGAAAAAAGGTAAAACTGGCAATAGTTTGGGGTGTTGTGGCAGTTCATCTGTCCACTCTTCTATCTATGTTTCTATATTTATTAAGTGCCTACCCAATTTGCTGGGTGTTTGAGGGCCAGGTGTTGTTCTAGCGCCTTTGGGATCCTAATGAGTAAGTCCTTGCTTTTGCTGAGCTTGGAGTATGGTGGGAAAGATGGGCTGGTAAACAGGAAATTATAACACCAGGTGGCAACTCCCAGAAATGAGAATGAATTTAGGAGTCATGGGGGGCATGAATGAGTTTCTTTGGTTATTCAGACCAAAGATGAAAAGAAATAACCCCCCTCCACCATTACTCCTGATGCTAACATCTCCTATGATTGCTCAAGACTGCATGATGAGCAAAGCTTATATGTAATATATTTCTGCCACAAATTCCACAAAGGGATTTTAGATCTCAAAGGGCTAGAAAAATATATGTCATTTTCTCCTAATTTTTCTTGTAAGTTAAAGAAAAGAAAAAAATTCTTTTATGATTTGAACATTTTGAGAAATTCTCTAAATGTTGAGAGCTTCAACTGATTAAAATGCTTCTAATTGCAAGATACTAATGTATCACAGAAAAAGTTCTACACGGGTTTTGTTAGAAATCAAGACTTAGATAGAAACACTTTTCCTCCATAAAAAGCAGTTATATTTGATGAGACATTCCCAAAATCATTCTTCCAAGTGGGAGGCTTGTTCTCCTACCAAGCTCTTGTGACATTTATCTTTTGGCTCTAACCCATGATCTTGTAGCTCTGAATGCTACTCAGTGTCTCATTGACCTTTAGTCTGTCTTGTATTTGTTTTATTTTAGAAAATTTATTAATGCAATTTTCTGAATTTTTCTCTATTCCCTGGATCCTTTGCATATGAAAAAACTTTAATCAAAATTGGGTGAAAGAAGAACAACAAATGGTGGCATGGCTGTGGAGAAAAAGGAACCCTCCTTCATTGTTGGTGGGAATGTAGTAAACTAGTACAACCATTATGGAAATCAGTATGAAGATTTCTCAAAGCACTAAACTTAGAAATTCCATATAACCCAGCAATCCCCCTTCTAGGTATCTTCCCCAAAGATCTTAAGACATCGTACTACAGCAATACATGCAAACCAATAATAGCTAAATTCTAGAAGCAGCCTATTTACCTAGCAGTCCCACTTCTATAAATCTATCCAAGGAAATAACAATGGTTGTGCACAAAATTATAGATACAGATGCTGTCACTAAAGCATTGGCTGTACAAGTGCACAGGTGTGTGTGTGAAATCATCCCCCACTTTTATGGATTGAGCTATGAACCTCAGACTTCATAGGTTGAAATCCTAACTGTTAGGACTGTAGGATGTGACTGTATGTGGAGGCAGGGCCTTAAAAGAGGACATTTAGTTCATATGGGTGAGCCCTAACTGAGTGCAACAGTGTCCTCATAAGAAGAGGCAATTAGGGTATAGATATACTCAGAGAAAAGACAGCAGAGGAAATAGCCACCTACGAGTCAGGATGGGGGAGGCCCCTAAATGAAATCCACCTGCTGACATCTTGATCTTGGACTTCTAGCTTCTAGAACACCAAGGAAGTAAATTTCTGTCACTTAAGCCATGCAATCTGCAGGACTTTGTTATGTCAGCCCTAGCAAGTGAATGGGCTCACGTGCGCGCGCGCACACACACACACACACACACACAAACAGATACACAAAGGAAACCATTCTAAATGCTGTGCAGTAGGGATCTAGTTAAATGTGCTTTGGCTTCTCTGCACAACGGAACTTCATTTATCAGTTTAATGTGACGGAAATGGAAAGCAGACTATCAAATACTCTGTACAGTATTGTAAAACACATTTATGTGTGATGGATGTTCCTTTGCTCTAAGAGGTGGCACACTCCTTTACCTGTTTAGGAAAGTAAAATGGGTGTTACTGGCAGCTGGACGGTGCAGTTCCCAAGGGAATGTGAGTCATGTTCATAGTGCATGGATGGTGCTGACAAGGCCGCCCTGCAGTCAGGCTTGGGACACGGTAAAGACAAGGCCACTCTACGACCACAGAAATGTCTGAACATCCTCTTCTAATATGAGTAACTGCTGTTGTCTTTCTTTTTAAATGAATGACAAGTGTCACCCTCTTTATTTTTCTTGCTAGATAAAAATTTAGTAATTCAGCACTAAATCGTCCCTTCTTGGGAGAGTGCAATCCAGATCTGATCCATGAATTGAAGATCCCCCCCCCCCATTGGGCATTCCTTCCCATTTGTCTTGGGAGAGGCTCTTCTAGACTCATTCAGTTCTCAAGGATTTTGGGTGTCAGAGGGGCTTATTCGAATTCATAGGCAGGTAGCTTCCTTTCTTCTGTGCCAAGCTGAGCAAAGGAATCTTTTGCTGCAGAACAAGGCCAGAGATGTCGGCTTTAGTCCCCTTTCCCACAAGCCAGTTCATTACTCGAGGGGTATCTGGGAGTGGACCTCGAACATGGCAAGAATCAAGATGAAACACATGGCTTTGGTCTGGGAATCACGGGCGGGAGCTGTTTATCAGACCTTTCTGAAAGATTGGAAAGCAGGGCTTCCAAACACCAGCGGGGGCTATGTGTGGGGCTGTCTGGGAGCTTGCAGTGGCCAGAAATCCCAGGCCCATGCCTAGAGACTCTGAAGTGAGCTGTGCCTGGAAGCACCCTGTGATGAGACTTACCTGGTGATTCTGTGTAGCCACTCTGGGGAACCCTGAAGAAGGGTGATACCTCTCTGGGCCTTGAGGATCAATAGCTCTTGGTAATTAAACTTCGTTTAAGTATTTGCTTGCTGTGAAGTCTGTTAACTATTGCTGCCTGTTGTCAGCATGGTTTTTAAAAACTTTTAATTTTTAAACTATGCCTCTGGGTCTCAGCACTGGGTGCATGTGCTCAAATTAAAATATACACAAGTGAACACACTATATCCCAGCCCCAAATACATTTTAATTTGGTTTAACTAATTAAACAAACAGGAGTGAATCATGCCACCGGGCTGCCAGTGCGAACCCGCGGCGCTGGGTGGCCAGGCAGGGAGTAATGCAGCACATGCTTCCACTTCCAGCAGAACCTAGGCGCCCGAGCGGGAGCAGTTTCACGGTGAATTGATGTTCGCTCAGTGAGTTTCAGAGGAGTCGTTGTGAGGCAGCTGGAAGAGAGGCCTGGGTGGGAACACTCAGGATGGAAACGCTGGGTTGGGGACCTCAAGGGTCCTGGGAGAAGGCGATTGAGAGGCACGGACACAAGGAGGGAGCAAGAGACCAGAAAGCTGCCTTCGGCAGGGGTAAAGATCAGCAGAAAGCTGTGTACGTCCGGCTCTGGGCGACTTTACTGAGGGGCTGACAAAGTCCTCCTCCTGCCGCAGCATGTGGCTGTTCCTAGAAAAAAAAATCATTTAGTAAGCAGAATGAATTCTTCATGAAAATAAAAAACTACACTCTACGTCGTTCCAGCAAGGAAATATCTTGAGCTTCCTGGGAGGCAGTTGAATTGGCTCTGTCTTGAGCTCCCACTACTAGGTTTTAAGTTATATGTCCCCGTTTTAGGGACAGAAAATACAGTGATGGCGTCTGAAGTTGGAAGCCACAGCGGCAGCCAAACAGGCCTCTGGCCTCCCCGAACAGCTGGGATCTGGGGGCGGAAGGGCGCCAGCGAAGTGGGCAAGAGCGGATTTCTCCACAAGGCAAAGGGCTTGTACGCTTGAGCAGGTTTCCAGCGGGGCGAGCCACCGTTTCCCACCTGCTTCAAATCCAAAAGGGACTGGGATCCCCAAACTCCTGCCCAAAGATTCCTAAAATCAGATTGTTCTCCAGTCCCATAGAAAATTGCATCATGTGAAAGAAGCTCGAGGGCAAAGTTTTGTCTTATTTAACTCGGTTTCCTTTTCTTAGCAGTTTCTTCATATACTTACATGCTTTCTGGCTTATTTTAAAACTAATCCCAGTCTTTAAGTCCCCTTTTGTTGTTTTTATAGAGGCTGAAGTCACAGGATTGTGAGTCCAATTTTAAGGACTGGTTTAATGCCCCTTTGGTTATATGTATAGTAGAATTACCGTATTTTATATAAACAAGGTTTTTTGGAGAGAAAAGAGTTTAGCAAAACTTCTCCACTAGATGTCACCATTGATCCAATGAAACGTGCCTAGCGGTGTTTATAAATAGAAGCCTGCTAGGTTACCTTGGTGACGTAAACAGGAATAGCGCAGGTCCTCACCTGTGTTCTTAAATCCTTTCCCGGTGACCTCTGTTATAAAAGGCGTTTATAGATCGGTTCTCTGCAGCACCTGTTCCTATCACAGATCCACTTTTGTTGTGAGGCCACTTTAGTGATGCAGGCTGGCCAACTGGCTCCTGTATTCACTATTTGCTTTTGCTGACAGAGGATCCGGTGTCTTTGGAGATCACATTGGACTCTGTTTCCGGGATAGCCAATGTTTCCACAGTGCCCCCTTTCCCCTTGTGCTGCTTCAGTCTCAAAGTCCTGGTTTTTCTTCCACGTGTCCATGAGCCCGGCTGGCTCCTGCCTGTGAGCAGCCCCTTCCGCCTGGGTGAGAGGGGCGCAGGGGGCGCAGGGGGAGAGAGAGAGAGAGAGAGAGAGAGAG